GGCTCACTTCAACCTCTGCCTCCCAGATTCAAGCGATTCTTGTGCCTCAGCCACCCAAGTAGCTGGGATTACAGGCACAAGCCATCACGTACAGCTGACTTTTTTTTTTTAATTTTTAGTAGAGATGGGGCTTTGTCGTGTTTCCCAGGCTGGTCTTGAACTTCTGAGCTTAAGTAATCTACCTGCCTTAGCCTCCCAAAGTGTTGGGATTACAGGCGTGAGCCACTGTGCATGGCATATCTGCCATCTTTAATTGTGGTTATGCAACCAATGTGGTGAGAAGTCTGGCATTAGAAGAAACAGGTCCTTGATGCAAGGAAAAAGCAAACTGCAACATGATATGCACAGTATTATCATAATTTATGTAGAGTGAAAGACACTGATGCTGTAATATATATCATTAATGGAAATATACACATATATCAAAGTGTAGAAAAGTCAATTAGACCTTACAGCTGACTGCTTAACAGAGTAACCAATACTACATATCAACAGCTGCGCCGCTGTGGGGAGGAGAAGGGGTAGGAGGGATGAGCATCAGCTCTCTCTACAGTGATTTATTTCTAGTAGATAGAGAAAGAGCTCCAAAGCAAAGGGATTTCATGGGTTATTTCTTCATGGCCAGTAAGGGTGTCTGTTACATCATTATTTACCTGTGTGTTTAACAATTTTATAATTAAAATGTATTATCTCTGGAAAAAAAAAAAGAAATAGGTCCTCTTTTTTTCTATCTGTGAAATGAAGATGGTTCTGACTTAGCTTCCCCATAAATATTCAAATGAAAGGGAGGGATCAATGGCCAGGTGCTGATACTACTCTTTGGATTCCTCTAGTTATGGTCACATTTTCCTGAGTAACAAGGATGGGCTCCTGGGTTCCAGATACAAGAAAGCTGTATTCAGGGAATACACTGATGGTACATTCAGGATCCCCCGGCCAAGGACTGGACCAGAAGAACACTTGGGAATCTTGGGTAAGGAAGTTCCACTTCTCTCCTAGTGTTTAGCAGCCTGAACTGCACCTATGGCAACCATGTTATACCAGAATGGCCTCGTTATTCCCCGTTCTCAGTCTTTTCATATGATATACTGTAATTATGATCATATTTTATGAAACAACCATGAGAATAAACACGGAAGTGGGAGGGAAGAAATGGAATTCTGCTGCAACATGAACGAGGTTTTACTGGATTTTCTATATCCTCAAGTATGAGTCTCTGAGGGTAGTAGGTTGTAATAAATGCTAGGGGCAGGAGAACTTAGGAACATCAAAAAGTGAAAAATGTATATATACAGGGAATCCAGTTTTACATCATACCACTGTTTAATTATTGCTTTAGGTTTTTCCCCCTTATTCTAGTTTTGGTACAAAAGGGACCCACTGACTCCTGAAGAGATTCTCTCAATTCTATATTCTTTGCCAAACTTGCCACTCTTTATAATCAATGATTCCACAGCACCGTGATTCTCTAGTCACTTGGACTGTTACAGACAGAGTGTAAGGGGTGGCAAAAGTAGAGGTAATTGGATGTATAATCTTGTTGTTGAAGTAACTTCATCCTGTGGGTAGTAATATCACTTTAAGGGTTTCTGAATTTAAAAATAGAGCCGCCATGCCTTCTAGGTCTTAGAAGGATCTTTTCTCAGGGTAAACCCCTAATTCTATGAAGTGCTCGTGTATGTCGTTTTCTTTAATGCCTCCTGTTCTACTCCTTCACTAATAAAATTTAATTAATTAATTAATTTTTTATTACTTACATTAGGTCCACTTATCAAAGCAGAAGTTGGTGATATCCTGACTGTGGTATTCAAGAATAATGCCAGCCGCCCCTACTCTGTGCATGCCCATGGAGTGCTAGAATCTAGTACCGGTTGGCCACTGGCTGCTGAGCCTGGTGAGTGGGGACACTTAGTAAAAGAACAAAGGATATACATCATCTCTGCTTCAGGCTTCTGGATGGTTCCTTAAAAAATTATGTGCTTCAGTCTGGAGTGGTGGCTCATTTCTGTAATCTCAGTACTTTGAGAGACTGAGGTGGGCAGATTACTTGAGGTTAGGAGTTCAATACTAGCCTGACCAACATCGTGAAGCCTCATCTCTACTAAAAGTACAAAGATTAGCTGGTTGCAGTGGCATGCACCTGCAGTCCCAGCTACTCAGGAGGTTTAGGCAGGAGAATCTCAAACCCAGGAGGTAGAAGCTGCAGTGAGCCAAGGTCATGTCACTGCACTCCAGCCTGGGGAACAAGCAAGACTCAATTTCAAAATAAAAATTATGAGCTTAGAGACATGAAATAGGAATATGGGCAAAACTAAGCCACAGGCTGAGTTTTTCTCCATGAAATATTCTCTCAATCCCAGAATAGGCTATGGCTTAGTCTTGGCTAATATTCCTGTTTCTGATCTCTAAGAAAATACCCTTGGATACAGTATGAGCGCCTAATCTTGGCTAGAGAGTGACCTGGCCCAGACTACAGACTGATCATTCACTCCTTACTCCAGTAGATAAAGGTCTTATACCATTCTTGCAGACTGAATTATTAATTCGCCAGTCACATACTAAACTCCTAATACTAAAAGTAGAATGAGCACAAACATGGCCACATTCTCTTTTATTAATTCATTCATTGAATAAACACTTACTGGAGGCCTACTGGGTGACAGGGACAACTCTAGAATCTATGGATGCAGTGACAAACACTTGCTCCTGTCCTGAACAAACCTGAGCTATTATGATAGAAACAGGTAAACTGGTAACTATAAACCACTGTGTTAAGTGTTAATAGGAGTTTTTACAATGTGATAGGCACGTGAAGAAGATGGTATTTAATGTTTGGATAGTCAGGAATGGCTTTCTAGATTAGGTGATATCTCAGCTGAGACCTACATCAGTAATTTTCAAATCTTAGCATGCATCAGGATCACCTGGAGGCTTGTTAAAACACAGATAGCTGAAATCAACCCTGAAAGTCTTTGATTCAGTAGGTCTGTGATGTAGCTCAGGAATTTGTTCCTTCAAACAAGTTCTCATGCTGCTAGCTCGGGAACTACACTTTGGAAACAGCTGACCTAAAGATGAAAAAAGGGATATATGGGTAAAGGTGAAGTGTAGTGTGTAAGACAAGCAGGAAAAAAGTTCCAGATGTAAAGAATGCAGTGTGCAAAGGCCAAGAGATGAACATTGGTGTAGAGGTAAAGGAATAGATTCTAAAAAAATTAATGAGGTAAAATAAGCAGAATATGATGAGTAATTGGATTTTGAAGCTGGGAAAGATAAGTATTCTTGAATGACATGCATGTTTTTGGAGGAAGATTCTTAAATGATACTCAATTTTTGGTTTGAACAACCAGGTAAATAGTGATGCCATTCATCAAGATAGGGAACATAAGAAAAAGGTAACTTGAGATGAAGTGGAAGGATTGGATGATGATGAGTTCCCTTTTGAATTTGTTGAATTTGGTATATTTGTAAGATGACCAAATACAGGTATCTAGACTTAAAGATAGACATAAAAATCTGGAGCTCAGGAGAAAAGTGTGCTCTGAAGGAATAGATGTGGGAGGCATCAACATCTAGGAAGTGATTAAAAGCATAGGAATGAACAGTTACCCCAGAAGAGAATATTGAATGAGAAAGTAAAAATCCTAAGATGAGACCCTGAGGAAGGCCAATTTTTGAGGGAGGTACCAATTGAAATATAAGCCTGAGAAAAGTTTGCAAAATAGGAGGAAAACCAAGAGAAGGTTACAAATGTTAAGAAAGGTAATTTCAAGGATGAAGTAGATAACAGCTTCAGCTGCTTTAAAGAGTTCAAATAAGAGCAGAAAATTTTCCATTGGTTATAGCAATAGGGGAGTGGCTGATGGTTTTGATAAATTGAGGAAAGAAGCTATATTAGAATGTATTAAAGAGTAATTGGGAGATATGAGAGTGAAAACAGTGAATATGGTTTAATTTTAAGACTTAGGCAGAACCATTTTAGGTCATGAGAAGGTCAGGGGTGTGTCCAAAGGCTAAAGTAAAGTGGAAGCAAAGGACACTACATTTGAGGAGATCCAGGGACTAATTCACCTCCTTGGTTAAAAATTTTGCTAGGTGTTATTATTATTCGTATGCATTTTATTATTTTGTATAATTACAACTGGATATTTTTGTATTGCAATAAAATCATTGTATGCAAGGTTCATTTGGAAAAATAAAGAATACCTGGGCAAGAAGAGCCAAAACATTAAGAAAATACTAATGAAAGCACACTAGCATAACCCAATAGTATAGCATACTATAAAGATGAAGATACAATAATTAAAGTGGCATGATACTGTAAAAAATTAATAAAACAAAACAAACATCCCTGAAACAGACCCAAGCTTCTGCCTTTGTCAATAGCAATGGGAATACAGATACTACTACTCTATTCCTAACCCTACACTTCTGCCTTCCACCTCCATCAGCTTCAGACAAGAAAGATGTTAATTTGATTACTCAGAACCTAAAATGTTTGCTGGACAATGTCTTACCACTGGGCAGGATTACTGTTTCTTTTATCTCAGCACTCCCTATTGCACTGCCCCCTTCCATGTGGTAAGCTGACCTATGCCTGCAACTGGGTAAGCTGGATATGTGAACTAGAACATGGTCTGTGCTGCAGATCTAGCTATCTTAATTTAATGAGATTTGAGAGTCATCATCATGTAGATGACATTTGACATCATAATATGGATGAGATCACTCCAAGAGTGAGTTATACAGTAAGTAGTGACCAAGGTGGCTGGATTAATTCAGGTAAGAGATGATGGCTTGGACCAGCCTGATAAAGTAGAAAGGATGAGAAGCTTTCTAATTATGGATGTATTTTGATGGTTAAGACAATTAGCTGGTGAATTGGGGTTTGTAGATGTTGTCTTTTTTATTTTTGGTAGTTGCTATATTTTAGTCAATCCCTTCTATGTTTTAAACATAGCAGATATCTTTCCCAATTTGTCTCCTAGCTGTGAACTTTATTTGTGACATCATTTGTTGAACAGAAATCTTTGATGTGATGTGATCGAATTGATGAAATTTTGGCCTGATAGTTTGCCCTTTTAAACTTTTGTTTATCAAGTCCTTCCCACTCCTTGGCCACAAAGACATTTTGCTGCACTATCTTCTGTTAACTTTATAAGTTTCTTTTTTCACATTCAAATCTGTAATCAGACCAGAGTTTGCATTTCTATATGCTATTAGTTAGAGATCCATTCTTATTTTTTCTTTGTATAAAAAGCAAATTTTCTTAATACCATCTTCAAAACCATTCAACTGTCTCCCTTTTGAGATGCCTTGCCACCTTTATTTCATGTTTAGCTTCTGTAAATACATTCATCAGTCTCCAATATATTCTGTTATATTTGTGTATTCAGTTATTATAAAAATACTGTTTTTATTATTGTGGTTTTGAAATGTTTCCTAATATTTGAAGAACAAACTTCTTTTATTCAAGATTTACTTAGGTATATGTTAGTTTTAGAATAAGTTTATCAAGTTTCTCAACTAAATACAGCTGAAATTTTGATTGACATTGTATTAAATTTATAGACTAATTGGGAGAGAATTTACATCTTTATATTATTTACTTGTTGGAATGGATTTCTGTGTATTCAGATGGGCTTCTATGGCTTTATAATGTTGTAAATATGCCTTCGTAAAGATCGTGCATATGCTTGGTTAAGTTAATCCATAATTGCTTCTTAGTTTTTGTTACTACTTTTAAATTATATTGTTAATAGGTTATTTATAACCTAGAGAAATGCTATTCCTTTGTGTAAGTTGAACCTATATCTGGTAGTTTTCCTGAACTCCCTTATTAGTTTTATTAGTTTGTTGATTCTGGAAATATTGAGAGTTTTATCCTTCTACCTCATATTTCCTTCAATTTCCATATATGTTTGCCAGGATCACCAATGCTAGTGATGGTAGTGGTCATCTTCAACTTTCTCCCAAACTCAAAGGAATACATGTAAAGTTTCTCTCTGCTATGATTCTTTTTGGAGGAATTAATTTAAATTTCTAAATGAACAAAAATCTATTTAAATTTTTAATCAAGATAACTGACCTATAACCTTTGATAGAAGAATAATTTTGAAACCATTTTGGGAGTGGAGAAGAAAATGGTGGATAGGAAGTAGACTAACTTGCAGCTCTCACTGGAATGGACAGAGTAGCATGTGACGATCCATATCATGAACTTTTACTCCAAGAACGACCACAGAAACATATCACCAAGAGAATTCACAGACCCTTTGAAGGAGGTGCATTGCCACTGCAGACTTTGTGGGACAGCTGAGGGACTGTGAGTCATCTTGCTTTCTCAATTGGGAGGATAGTAGCCTGGGGAAGGTTCTCAGCCCTGCTCACCAGCTGCCTGGAAATAATCTCAGTGCTGTTGGGGAAGCATGATGTGAGTGAGACCGGCCTTTTAGGCTGTGGGCTGCTGTCTTTCTTTTATTTATCTGGCAACTCGTGTGATGCAGCAGAGGCAGCCATAATCCCCCCAGGAACATACTTCATTGGTCTGGGAACCACACTGGCATTCCCCAAAGCTGCCACAGCAAGCCCTACCCCAGGAGAGTCTGAGTTCAGATACACCTGAGTCTGCCCTCCTGGTAGCCAAAGATCATGAACATAATCCCTTGCGAGTTCCATGGCCCTGTGTACCACCTGATAAGCCTGAATACTTATCCAAAGATGACCCTAGAAGAAGCATGTATCCTTCCTATACAACTGTAACTGATATGTTCTTGAAAGTACCACCTCCAGATTGGAGGCCAGCCAACACAAAACCAATGCACTTAAAAATACAACTAAGGACACTGACATTGTTCACTTCACTCCTCTGCTGTCTTCACTGGAGCAGGTACT